TGCCAAACAAATACCTTCAATATTCTGTAATGAGCCCCAACCACACTGAGCAGCTCCTTCCCCAGCTCCGAGGATTTAGACTAGAACCGTGTGATATAATCCAATTTTCCACTGGCCGATGGAGCCGTGAGTTTGGTCCCGTAAGCATCGGAGGCGCCACAGTGCCCCTTCGCTGCAGGGCACTCAGCCAGGGCATGCTGGGAGGTCCCGGGACAGCCGCGGAGAGAGAGACGGCCCACCAAAGAGGGGGCAGTGTGGGGTCTGGACGATGACAGAGATGAGCAGTATGCTTTAGAAGTGTACGTGTGGGTTATGCTGAGGTGATTCTACTGTACGTTTGAGTTTGGTTTTAAATCTGGTATGGATGGGACGCCTTGAAGTGTTCATGGTATGATTATCATGACCAGAGATACCACAGTATGACTATGTGTGCTCTCATGCTCAGAGTCTGTATATTATAGGAGTGGAGCGAATGAGCACTGACGTCACCGTAGTGTTTACCGAATGCAAAAGAAACCAATTTCCTTTCCAATCTCTCTTGCTGTCTCTCTCTAGTCTCTCTTTGCCCTCTCTGCTCTATCTCTGCTCACTTTCTGGTCTCTCTTTCTCTGGTCCCTCTTCTGGTCTCTCATATCTCTCCCTGGTCCTTCTCTTGTCTCTCTCTAGTCTCTCTCCCTGGTCCTTCCCTTGTCTCTCTCACTGGTGTTTTGCTGGTCTCTCTCTCTCTCTGGTTTCTCTCTTTGTTCTCTCTCTGCAATCTCTCACTGGTTTCTCTCTGATGCATCTCTGGTCTCGCTATCTGATCTCTCTCTGCTCTCTCTCTAGTCTCTCCTTCTGGTCTCTCACTGCTCTTTCTCCCTAGTCCTTCTCTGGTCTCTCCCTGGTCTCTCTCTGCTCTCTCTCTCACTGATGTCTCTCTGCTCTTTCTTTGCTCTCTCTCGTCTCTCTTTGCTCTCTCTCACTGGTGTGTCTCTCTGCCCTTTCTTTGCTCTCTCTCGTCTCACCCTGGTCTCGCTCTCTGGTCTCTCTCTGCTCTCTGCCTGGTCTCTCTCTTCTCTCTCTCACTGGTGTCTCTCTGCTCTTTCTTTGCTCTCTCTGGTCTCTCCCTGGTCTCTCTCTGCTATCTCTTACTGGTTTGTCTCTACTCTTTCTTTGCTCTTCGTGGTCTCTCTCTGCTCTCTGCCTGGTCTCTCTCTGCTCCCTCTCACTGGTGTGTCTCTGCTCTTTCTTTGCTCTCTCTGGTCTCTCCCTGGTATCTCTCTGCTCTCCCTGCTCTCTCTGGTCTCTCCCTGGTATCTCTCTGGTCTCTTTCGGGTCTCTCGTAAATGTCTCAGCACACTTCAAAGAGGCCAAACATCTCCTGTGAACTAATAAAATGCAGCATCTTTGCATTGGAAACCTGAGCCCACTTATCCATCCAAGGTTAACATTTAGACTGACAGATTTTTACGGCACAATAGTGAAGAGGGGAATCCGAACACTTCTGCCCCTTGACTCCTGTTATCTAAAGCCTGGTTCACACGGCAGGATATTTAGGCCGATTTAGACCCGATTTAGACCCGATTTACCCCTTACGACAATCTTAAGAAACGCTCCGATTTCCGTAACAAAATCTTACAGATTATCCTGCCGTGTGTGGTGTGTTAAGACTGCACTCGTCGCTCGGAAGGACATCGGGACTGCTCCCGATCTCAAATCGGGGATATCCAACATGTTGGATTGTTTTGGCCCGATTTCTTGTCGTGTGTGGTGTCCCCCGAGGACAAGCGAGCGCGTTGCCATGACTACGGCGTGTAGCCAATAAGAAGACGAGGTGACAAGCCGGTGAGGAAACACCGGAAAAAAACCAAAACACAGCAGCATGGCTTTGACCATTGCCTTTTCTTTGGATTACGTCTCTTCTCTGTTAACAACAAACTGCACACTATCGCCACTGCATCCTCTTCGTCCGCCATGACTGTTTACTCTGAAGTCACGCTAGATCTCGAGAGATTTTGTGAGATTTCCGTCTGACCTGGGAATGCTCGGGGGGGGGGGGGCGGGGGGGTGTCGGTTCGTGTGTGATGTTTGTGGCTTGCGTGATCTTGCCGTGTGGCTACGCACCACACACTGCACGACCAAAGTGGTTAGACGCAGGATTTTTAATCTCCCCGTGTGGGGTCTAACACGGAGAAAAATCGGCCGACAATTTTAAAATCGTCTCGTGTGAACCAGGCTTAACGCTGCAAGGAAACACTTACTTAGAACTGTATTTACAACACAGTGTGAGTTACTAGTACGCCAGGGGAGGGTCTTCTGTGGACGGCTTCATGACATGTCCCCTTTAAAGACAAAATGTTAGGAAATACATTTAACATTCTTCTCAGTCCATTTCGAGCAGATACATTTCAAATAAGTTTTACATATAATTGTAAATAGATGGTAAAATTGATGACATTTCTTATGTGTATGGACTATATCGATGCCTACATATAGAATGGGCGGTATGATAGCTGAGTGGTTAGCCCTCTCGCTTCTCGAGGGTTTTTTTTCTTACACATTTGAAAGTTTCTGACAAAGAACGTCATTTGACAATAGAAAACGCCCGAATTAAATGTTCCCGCTGTGGGACGAATAAAGGGTCTCCTAATCTTAATCGTAATCTGTTGGGCAATTCTTAAATCATACTGTATATAATATGATATTTGATTATATAATTACTAAAAAAGCGCTTTTTCAGTTGTTTCCCGCCCTACCCATTGTATACATTATGACTGTCCCCATGCAACCTCAAAGCTCTGTGTTGCAAACAGGTGTACATCGTCTGGTCTGGCTCTGGTCTCTCTCAGTTCTCTCTTTGGTCTGGCTCCGATCTCTCTCTAGTCCCTCTGTTCTCTCTCTGGTCTGGCCCTGGTCTGGCTCTGGTCTCTCTCCAATCTCTCTCTGGTGTCTCTTTGGCCTATCTCTGGTCTATCTCGTCTATCTCTGGTCTCTCTCTGGTCTCTCTCTGGTCTCTCTCTGGTCTCTCTCTGGTCTCTCTCTTTGGTCTCGCTTTGTTCTCTCTCTCTGGTCTCTGTCTGGTCTCCCTCTTGACTGTCTGGTCTGTCTCTGGTCTCTGATCTGGTCTCTGGGGTCTGATCTCTGGTCTGGCCCAGGTCTAACATAGTCCTGACGTGTTTTTCAGTTCTCCAGACTTCCTCCTTCTATATAAACACTAAAGTTACCACTGCCACAGCAGTTGTATCAGGTTTAATATCAAAGCTGCTTTTTCACACACAAAGTGATTCAGGGTGGATTACCCCTGTAGCAAACCAGTTCTAGTCCATTAGCCTGTCCGTCCGGAGGAGCGGATCCCTTTCTCATATGGGTCTCCCTCCCTGTGGGTTTCCCTAGTTCTCCTCCAAGGTTTCTCACTTTTTCCCACTGGGTTTTTTAAGAGTTTTTCCTTGTCGATGCAGGAGGGTCTTGTTGGACAGTTAGTGTCCAACAGAAAGGATTGGTGATGATCAGGACACTTTAGCATTCTACAACATGTATGGACATTTTCTTCTGTGTGTGCTTTATATTCTTCATGTGTTTTAACTGTTGATTCTCTGATCTGTGTTGGTGATTTCAATGGTTTTGTTAAGTCCTCTGAGATGACTTCTGTTGTGACCTAGGGCTATACAAGAATAAATTGTATTGTATTGTATTGTATTCTCAGCCTAAATAGTCCGTTAGTGACTGTTAGTGACAATATGTTTGTAATTTTATTGTACTGTTCCACATTTTTTTTATTTATTTGCTGCTTTGTTGGCCCTGCAGTGGGCAACGTTTGCAGACTGCAAGTTTTTCTCTTCTGGTGTGTCTCGGGTCTTTTTCTCTGGTCTCTCTCACTGGTCTGTCTCTGGTCTCTCTCACTGGTCTGTCTCTGGTCTCTCTCACTGGTCTGTCTCTGGTCTCTCTCACCTGTCTGTCTCTGGTCTCTCTCACTGGTCTGTCTCTGGTCTCCCTCACTGGTCTGTCTCTGGTCTCTCTCACTGGTCTGTCTCTGGTCTCTCTCACTGGTCTGTCTCTGGTCTCCCTCACTGGTCTGTCTCTGGTCTCTCTCACTGGTCTGTCTCTGGTCTCTCTCACTGGTCTGTCTCTGGTCTCCCTCACTGGTCTGTCTCTGGTCTCTCTCACTGGTCTGTCTCTGGTCTCTCTCACTGGTCTGTCTCTGGTCTCCCTCACTGGTCTGTCTCTGGTCTCTCTCACTGGTCTGTCTCTGGTCTCTCTCACTGGTCTGTCTCTGGTCTCCCTCACTGGTCTGTCTCTGGTCTCTCTCACTGGTCTGTCTCTGGTCTCCCTCACTGGTCTGTCTCTGGTCTCTCTCACTGGTCTGTCTCTTGTCTCTTTCTTTTCTTTCTCTCTGATCTCTTTCTGTTATCTCTCGCTGATCTCTCTGGTTTCTCCCAGGTCTCTCACTGGTCTATGTTGGGTCTACTTCTAGTCTCTCTCTCTCTCTCGCTAATCTCTCTCACTGGTCTGTCTCTGATCTCTTTCTGTTATCTCTCTCTGATCTCTCCGGTTTCTCCCTAGTCTCTCTCTCTCTGGTCTCTCTCTCTTGTCTCTCTCTCTGATCTCTGTCTGTGGTCTCTCTCTGACAAAATCTGCATTTACTGCAAAAAAGGAAAACAAATCAATACGGCTATTATAACTGGAAGCCCAATCTTTAAGTACATTGTTATAGAAAAAATAATGATACTGACTGTTGTTCAATTATATAATAACAACAGATTAGAATTGTGTAGAATACCAATACAAATGTAATAAAAAGTAGTAAAATGAATCAAAAGAAATTCTACAAAACACTGTATTGTTTCTGTTGTAGTAGAAATGTAAAAGTAGATCTTGACAGCTGCCTGGACGTTCTGACACTCTCTGACATCTTGTTTCCAGTGCAGTTCCCATGGCCGTTAGGGGATTGGTCTACCATCTTGAGTCTGATGTAGAAAACAAGACTTCCGGGTCACGGCGCCCTATACGCCCTGGTCGGTAACATGGCAGGCTCGTTTGTCCCCCGTGGGAGCGCCCCTCCTGGACACTTCCCTCAGGCCTGTCCCGTCTTCAGGCTCCTGTGGGGGGTAAAGCCAGTGTCCCGGGCCGGGCCTCTGCGGGGGGTGCAGGGGTGCGGAGATGGCCTTTCCAGATGCTCTGCTACTGTTTTAACTGCTGACACGGAGATCATTTAGTGACGTGATTTACGGCTCATCGTGTGGGTTTGAACTCAATCAACTTTGTATTTATATCTGTGTATTATTAGAGCTTCTTATGCAGGAACAGATTATACAACATCATTTATTCTCGGGCCAAATGGTTCTAAGTATTTTTATATCTGGAGAATCTAATCTTGAAACTGAAAATGTAATCAAATACATGTAACTAGTTCCCCTATAGCTCTCAAACTGTTTTTTAAAGATTGAGATTAAGAACCTCTTTTTCAAGGATGTCTTGGACAAAAAATTCACACAGTTACACATAATTACAAATGATAAAAAAACTCTTACAAACAATTTCATAAAATTACAGATTATAAAAAAGCTACATGTTAATAACTTCTATCATTAGTTTTCACATGCATTTCTTTTGTCACATTTTTGGATCATGTTTTTTTCAGAAAAAGCACCAGCCCGCAACTCTCTAAAATGTTTTCTAATAAATGTTGTTATCTGATCTGTTACTTATACCAGACTGTTTCTGTTTTCGTGAAATAATACTATATTTATGAAACAAAACGGTTAGATACACTTTAAATGTGTGCATATCAGAGGGGCCAAGTCACTAATCAGCTAATAAAGTTTAATTATCTTTGATTATACATATTATACATTATGAGGCGGATTGTACTACACAGCAAAACAGTCCTGGGTTTGATTCCACCTCCAGACATTTCTGTGTGGAGTTTATGTGTATAACATAAACTGTAAAGTTTAAAGTTTTTTAAAGTTTGAGTGACCTTGGTCTGTGAAATGCTCTGTATAAATAAAGAATACTCACTCGCTGCTTTTCATTGATTCTCATTGATTCTTTTCATTGATTCGTTTTTGTCTGTTGATCATACCAAAAGGAATCTAGAAGAGTGTTTTTTTCTTTTTGTCCATGAAATAATATATAACCATGAATATTATTGTATATTTAGTGCATTTTTTTATGTTTTGTCAGGGACAATTTATTCTGACAGAATTACAGCAAAATATAAAATGAATGTGACACATACAAAGTTATAGTAAAACATCTTTATCAACCTGTCCCTGGTTGAGCTTTTTCCTCCATATACGGTACATAATAATTGTATATGGTTCATTTGCAAAAACAGATCAGTGTCATTAGAAATACATCTGAGAGGATTAAAATTTGCCATTTTTCGAGTAGTGTTTGGAAAAGCCAGATCCATTATAGTGCCATACAAAGAAAACTTCACTCCTTCTTGAGCCTTTTCTTTCAAATGTGCTGCTAAAAACAAATAAACATATTCAAGATTGATACTAAAGGAAAACCATTTTATGACACATTTTTAAAACAGAGATTTCTGTTTTTATACATTAGTTGACTGTCTGTAAAAATAACCATGTTTCCAGTAAGATTTGTCTATGAATTTAGCAAATACAATTGTGTTTGGATGCATAAAACAAACATATATCCATGTGAATCCCATAAATCATTTAATTACTCACACATATTACTTTTTTTTTTATCAGAGCTCCTTGCGTGAACGTGAACTGGCCGCTCCTCAGAGGTGAGAGAGTGTTTGTGATTGCTTGAGGCCGCTGACCTTTGCTGAGGGTCATTGTCTCAGTACAACAGGTGTCTGTCCATCTGTAAAACACATACATAGCAGCTCTCCCTCTGCCACAGACACGCTTACTGTATAGCACGAGAATCTTATCATGTAGAGCGACGCCACAAACATTACTATCATTACATTCACAATAACAAAAACCAAAATAATAATGCATCGGTTTTATATGACGCTGTTTTGGACACTAAAAGACGCTTCACATGTCATTATTCAATCACTTCATACACAATATGTATGCAGACTACTGATTGGTTGTAAATAGAGTAATGAATAGTTAGGATTAATCTGGTTGTAATAGAAAAGAACAACAACATTTAAGTCTTTTAATAGTTAATTTTTGGATTAGATAAAAAAAGTCTTGTTCTAGAGAGAGCCATACTGTCAATGCATAAATACATTGGCAATACAAATAGATAGTGCTTGAATTGTATCAATTATTGACAGGAAAAAAAATAGGAAAAACCAATAAAATACACTTCACAATACAGCGGACAGAAATGTCAAGGTCGCTTTTCTTGTGCTGTCTGTGGCCCCTCCATTATTGTGGGTTTAAATTATAAAAATAACCCGCAAAAAGGGAAATCTGCGAAGTAGCAGCTCTGTGTTTTAAGGCTGTCAAACCCCTCACCAGCACTTTATACACTTTTCTCACTACCTGAACCCCACGACTGCTGAAGTGTGATTGCAGAGTTATCAAACTTGTTCGTTGTGGGTCTAAGCGCTGCTGCAGCTGTCAAAAGTTGCGCAAACACTGGAATTTACAGATGCAGAGGACACGCACTGAGGGACAGGAGCAGGACTGAGGGCTGCGGGAAGACCCTGGTGGTCAACCTGAACTAATCACCACAGTGCTCACAAGTCACAAAGGATTTCTTATAAAGCTAACTGTCATAGCGGTTATATGATGTTGTGTTGAGTGTGCACGCAGCACAGGAGAAGCACTCAAGATGAACCGCATAAGTAGTAGTAAGAATTTATTTCAAACGTTATGCAAATGAAAACAATATAAACAAGATGCAAAATAAAATAAAAACAAGACAAGATAAAAAGTTTGAAAAAGATGCTGAACTCCAACCCCTGTCACTCATTCAACGCAACCCACACAATCAGCGGTCACTATATAGTAAGGGAACACTGTTATCACTATTATTCTATCATCATTAAGAAAAAGTCATTGAATAATAAAGCTGATCACTGGAGGAATTATAATGTTCTAATGTAAATCAAAGAAAATTACAATAGATTTGTTCATTAAATGTTAAATAATGCATTTTTGTATAGATTTGGTTTTATCCCACGGGACAAAATATCACAAAAATAATAATCTTGGTTTAAAAATTGACTGTGACCGACTTTTAAAATATTGTGTCACTATGTAAATCTTACAGGTCAAACAGCGCCCCCTCAATCTGATGTGTTATTCTTGTGGTGGCCAAGGGTACTGCAGCCTGCTACACGGTGTCAAGTGGAAGAGCAGTGAGCACAGCTTGTTTTCGACACAAGAACCTCAGGGCAAGATGGTAACTCACTTTTTTCATTATTGATATCTTTGTAAAGCTTTAAGAAGAAAAGAAACCACAGTATTGTGGAATTTTGATGCCAAATAGGTGATGGCTGAAAAATTGAAATGACAAACTTTTCCTTTGCTAGCACAGTGAAGCAACACGTGGCTAAGCTAGCTCGGCAAAAATATGTATAAAGAAAAGAGAAGGACAGCTAATAAGTGGAACAAGTTATTATTATCTTTATTATCTTTGTTTGGTGTTGATAACTGTTGTTGGTGTAGAATTCAGAATATAGGATTATTCAAGTACATGCTAGTGCCTGATAATTGTAATAATAATAATAATGTATCGGTTTTATCCATAGACTATATATATTGCAGTTTCACATGCAATTCATGCAAGGAACAACTCAAAAAAATAAATAAACCCAGCTGGAGAAAAAGTGATAAACTTTCTGGAACGTTGTAACTTTACTTTTACTTTTACACTTTTGGCTGGGATGGGCTATATGCACGGGGAGGCGTGACGTCATTTCCTGTTAACGCAGATCAGATGTTGATGTTTAGTTATGTGCCGTTTATTTAACTTGCGTATTAACTTAAGTATTCTTACTATGATGGCAAAAAAAAAAAAAAGATTATATTCATTGACATCAAGTATTGTCATTTTTTACCCTTTGTTTATTATGTTATGTGGCACTTTTATACTTAACAACCAAACACAGTAAACACTATTCGGAAACTGATAGTTTGGCTTCTAAACCCTTGTATTAAACTTGATTTCAGAAATGATCTTTTTCCAGACTGCTGTGGCATCATGTTTGGTCTGTGCAGCCTCCCTGATCACAGAGGACTAAGCCACTGTCATTTGTCTTCTTCTCTGGGATACACAGAGACGTCCGTGAGTATATATCATAGACTCATTATTATGTTTTGTCTTGGCTTATGTGTGCCCGCCCCCTGCATGTGTGTGTATGTATGTGTGTGTGTGTGTGTTTGGGAGAGGGGTGCATTTGAGTTACTTCCTTTGGCCCTCACCAGACCGCATTGTATGACAGTGGTGATATATTAATCATTAATTGTTTTGGGAAGATAAATGACATGTTATTTTTTATCTTTCCTGTGAATTAGGGAAACACAGACTAATTAACTCAACGTATTTTGTTCACTTATACTTGGATTCTCTAATCTGTTGATCGTCAATCTTGTGAAGTCGTCTGAGAGGACTTCTGTTGTGAATTTGGGCTACACAAAAACACATTGAATTGAAATAAACGACTATATATGGTCCTGGATTGTGTTTAGTTATCACGTCTGCTTAGGTTTGGGGGTCAACTGATTATGGCCGTTGCCAATATCAATTTTTTTATAATCTGATCGTCCGATAAGAAAGTATTTTAAAATGCACTCTCTCCACCTCAGCATGTTCCCCCTTCAGTGTGTCTCCCACCTGGGCGCGATCTGATTGGTCTAGTAACAGGAAGTAGACAAGCATGTAACAGAAGACGTGTCTTGGGGATAATACTCCAAAAAGTAATATTCCTAGTCTTAGCCTATATTTGCACGAAAGTTTATATTAATGCTACACACGAGATGCAGTAGCTCATTTGGTAGAGCATTGGCCTTTGGGCCTGAAGGTCGTGGGTTCGAGCCCACCGTAAGACCTACTTCACGACTCCCACTGATGACTGCTGTCGTTGTGTCCTTGGGCAAGACACTTAACCCCACTTTGCCCAAAGCCCCAACTGAAAGATCTCAGCTCCTGTGGACTCACCACCTGCAGGAGGATCAGTGAGGGGCTGGTGCCCTGTGTCCTGGGTGCAGCTCTGACTGCCACCCCCCGACCCAGAAATGGATTAAGGGGAAGAAAATGGATGGATGGATGGACGAGATGCAGGGGCTTTAGCGCTACTCAGAGATTATGAGCTTGTAACTACAGTATATGTTTTCTCCCCCCTGTTGTTTTTTGTTTAAAAAGCAGCTTCATGACAGAATGACAGATACTTGTTTTATCAAACTCCAGGCTTAAGTAGAGAACAGATTTCCTGAGAGTTTTTCTGATACAGTTTTCCAAGAGGAGCTCATGATGCTACAAAAGGCTCTAGTACTCATAACGCTGCATAATTACTGAACTTTTTCGCTGCTTTGTTCCTTAACAGCACAGGTCATTCATATCCTTAAAGTAAATATAGACTACTCATCTCCCTCGTTGCCCCTTTAAAACAGCTATCACACTTGTGCCTAGGTCTGTCTGCTCCTCCACTGCTATGAAGAAACCGCCAATTAAGCCAAGTGTAAATTCCAGTAGAAAGCGGTGCGTGGGCTCAGAACGTCTCTCTTCACCCGCGACACTATTTCAGGCTGGAATCCGGGCCCTGGGCTTAAGGGCGGCCATAGCTCACATTCTTAACCAGAGACACTCAAGTCTTTAGTTTTATTTTTGGGAACACACAGCGATGCCGACCCCTTTCTGTGGCAAAAGTATTTGTAAATATAAAAATGGTTTCACCAAATTGTGCTTTTATTATTGTTGGAATTTGGGGGCGTTGAAAAAAACTTTGATTCTCATATCAATAAAGAAGAGAACAAATCAATACAATAATAAAATAATCTATTATAAATAATCACAGAGAAGTCTTTTTAGTGGTAGGGGAAGTGGAAATACCCAGAGGAAACTTATGCAGACTCAGGTACAACATGTTAACTCCAAACGGAAATGGCACCAAGAGACATAAAGAGAGTTGGGGTACAAGAGACTGACTGATTGAAACATAATTAATTGACAACAAGACCTTCATTCTTTCACCTTCACCATTCTTTAGCTTTATTCACATCCCCATTTTCAACTCAATTATTTTGAAAACACAATAATGCTCTTGCAAGGAACAATATTGATCTTGATACTTTGGTTTTCGGTATCTGTTCATACTCTAATAAGAACCAACACCAGTGAAGAGATCGAACGTACTTTTTTTCCTCAAAAATTGCAAAGGCTATAGTTATAGCTACATTTTGGCCACCTATTGCTGTAGTCACGCTTAGGGTTGCTGATGTTTGCTGAAGTGTCTAGTCTTCATCACAAAAATAAAGCTAGAGATACAATTTTTTTAAATGTTTTAAGAAGTCACAGATAAGTGGTATTGGTTTATTCCATCTGGTTACTGTCTGCACTGTCTGATCTGCTATTAGAACACCAACATAGATGTCCTGTGCGCGTTTAAAAGTAGTTTGGCAACTTAATTTTAGAGATGCTGAGAAGAGCCATGAGCTGACACAACACAAACTTAAATTAACCTAAGTACATGGGCAGTTAAAGATATATCCTGCTTTGAAATTATGTTTTAAGAGAGTATGATACCTTTAAAAAGTAGGGCCGTTTGTGTACAACTCATAATCACAGTGGTTCTGGTTATGCTTCTGCAAAACAAACATTTATTACTTCATCCATGCTATCATAAGATAATATAAGATAAGATAGACTTTATTGATCTCACACAGGAGACATTTACATACATAAACATATTAGAAGAGTATCTTTTGTTGTAAACGTATATTAGAATTGGACTGACTGATTGGACTTTAGTGTTGATGCCACTAAGAGTTCAGTGATGGCCAATTTCCGTTTATGGCCTATTTTTCCCCGATGTCGTTAGCTTTGCGCCGTAACAGGGGCAGACGTGTTGCTAAGATGCTTGCTAAGGAATCTGGAGTTTCCCCCATGATTTAAGGCATCTGATTGGCCAATCCTTATATGGCTTATAGCTGAATTGAATACTGTATATCACATAATATTCAGTCATAGAGAGCGCTAAACCACGGATGTCTTTAGCCAAAAATGCTCAGTGTGACGGTTACTGAGCTAGAGGAGTTTATTTTTCACTGCCGATTTCTATCCTCATCATCACACAGGCGGTCTGTAATGAAGTGACCCAAGTATTTTCTCTTGTTGAACTTGGAAAAAATGTGACGATTTGATAGTATTCACTATTCAATATTATTGCGATAACAAACGTATTGCGATACAGCAAGCATTATGATTTGATTCTGCCATTTATTGCGCTTCATGTCCCTCACATTATTCAAAGGCTTTGAGGAGAATGAGACAAATGTCACATTTGTGGTCGGCACATTGACTGAAGTGCAAACTGGTTGTAATGAAGCTATTTTCATTTGAACTTGCTGTAGAATTATTGCACAAAAACAAAGCACCACAACTAGCGCCACCTTGTGGATGTAAGACGCAAATGTAAATGACCAGAGTAATCTCAAAAGTGAAACAAATTATTTTCTATTAAATATATAATCTTCACTAAAGATAAATGCACTAATAAGTTGAGCATTAGATAGATAATTGTTAGAAATATGTCATATCAAATACATATTGACGTTCCCTGTGTGAACTAATCATAGGTGGATGTTTATGTTTATTGTCTGTGTTTTCTCATGTTGTAAGGTCCTGTACTGTGCAATGCTCTTATGTTTCTATGTTTCTGCTTTTACAGCATCTGCATGTGGCTTTTAATAACTGTGCTGTTTGTTGATGGCTGAAACGTCAATCTGCTGCGGGACTACAGATGGAAACTCGCCTTCATGGCTAAATTTGTCTACATGGACACATGTTGATTCATTAGCACTGTCCTATTTGAATATATAAATACATGAAATAAAAAAATATGTATTGAGGTAGTATGTATTGTATTGGCAAAAAAGATACCCAGCCCTAATGTGAAGTTACCAACCAGCTACTAGCACAACATTATTCCTGCCAATATAGACACGTTATACCTCATTTTATTCCACGCGTTGCTTCTATAATTGCATTTTGAAGGTTTGGCGAATGGATTTCAGCTGAAATACTGCATGAGGTACGCAGAACGAAATTGAATAGAGATTATGAGCGTGTGCAGAAAAAAAGCCTTTTTCCGCACACGTGACAAACAGCGCCCCTTGAGGTATACTAAAACAAATTTGAACACGTCAGCTTTTTTCTGGAGTAAGAAACAACAAACAAGCACAATGTTCTGGAGTGGCCATCTCAGTCCTCAGACCTGCATATTTTAGAAAATCTGTAATGTGATTTAAAAGGGGCTGTCCATGATCGGAACCCATCAAACCTGACTGAACTAGCGTTTAGAGGTTGAGGCTGTTATTTCTGCAAAAGGAATGTCTGCAAAATGAGATATATTTTTGGCATTGATTCCAATATCATCATTGATTCCAAAATCATCATTGATTCCAAAATCATCATTGATTCCAAAATCATCATTGATTCTGTTGGTTGAATGCATGTGTCATTAAGAGTAACAATAATATTATCAATTTCTGACCATCACTGCTTTTAAGAGCTTTAATTGGTCACACTAAAGTTTGTTCCACAGGTGCCTGGTCTTTGAGTGCTGTGTTCACAAACATCGGCCCCCATCACAATGAAAAGTTTAAAGTTCCCGACCACCGCTCCATTTTTAAGAATCTCTCTTTTAACACTTGGCCGAAAGCTGCAGTGGACTGAGTGCACCCTGCGAGCTCTGGGTCAGTTATAAATGGCTCCCTGGGGCCTGCTCCTGAATGACGAAGCCCACCCTTCAGAGTGAGGGCAGTGGGGATGGGATGGGGGGCTGGATGGTGCGTAGTGGGGAGACACTCAGGGGAGATCACAGAGAGGTGCAGGATGCAGGAGCTGAAACCCAAGCATCATTGAATATTTCACCACTGCATGGAGAGCTCGCTTGTTTGGGAAATGTGATAGTGAAGTGTCAAACTGTGCACTAAAGACGCTGGGAGCAGGACTTAAAGCTCAGTTTGGCTGCATTTCGCGCAACAAAATACCAGGACAAAAGAAAATCGGATCTTCAAAGTACCACTTTACAAAAATTCTGCACATACAACGGGGGAATCGAAGCACTAAACTGATTACTATTAAGCCTAAGATAAGATATTGGACATTTGTGTGTTAATGCGTTTCATCGCTCATTGACACACATTTCAGCACTAGAATGTATTCTAAAAAAATAATTTATCAGTCAATCAATGCATAATTCATAATTTTTTATCTAATTCAGCTTAGAGAATAGATAAGTGTATGAGCGCTTATAAATGTTAAAGTAAAGAGAATTGAATTGAATATATGTATGTTTTCTATATGCCTGGCTGTCAATAGCGTAATTTTCCAAGTGAAGACGAACATCAGACCAGGTTTTGTCGTCTGGTCTTTAGAAAAAATTGCATAATGGATTCTGAAAGTGAAAATACAGGTAAACCACACCAGAATAAATCACAAATTAATGTTTACTAATGATTCTTTACAAACGAATAATCCTAAAACTGATTATACTTCCTCCTTGCGAATTAAAAGTGGCATCGAGTTTGCCTCTTTACCTTCACATTTTTCTGCATACTGTCTCTCAATCGCTCTGTGCTCTCTCCTTGCATCTCTCTTTGCTCTGCGCACCTGCTTGGTTAAATGATCACGTTCGTACATTTCATATTTAGGTTTGTTAAACTGGAGACTATTTTGTTTGAGCTGAATGGGAAATGTATAATGGAAAGATGCATTCGGCAAGAACTGCTTCTGTCAGAGATTTAATGGGACCAAGACTGGGTTTGACTGCACAGATACACTTGGTCACTGGTCACGTGCTGATTCAGCTCCACTCACACTAGATAATGTTGAGTTCTAACCTGGTTTGGACTTGCTCGAGGTACGGGCTGGGCTTAACTTTTGAGGCCTGATTACAGCTCTATAGCGTCAGTTATAACAAAGCTTCGACGAAGAGTTTTTGCCTCGGGACATTTATGTAATCAAGTTAATTGGGTAACTTGAGGAATCATCATCATCATGAACAAACCACGCGTACATACAGTGGTTTCTTTGCCAACATGTATTTTAACACAGGTTAAGCCTTGATACTTTATTAAATGATGTTGAAATGTGATTCCGGCTGTGGTGAAGTTGTAATGCAAAGATGGAAAATTCTCAGTTCTCTCAACATCAAATTTAAAAGAAAGAACCTCTGGACTGTTGCGCACTGGGATTGATATATTATTAAGGGACAAAGAAGGTTCTGATGAAAACTATACCATCTATATTTAGTACTTTGGTCCCATCTTCTCCATAACAATGCGCTGGTGGGACGTGTCCGTGTTGTGTTGCGCTCCTGACAGATTTGGATGTTCACACTTCACAGAAACACTCTTATGACTGACCTTCAGATTGGACCTGAACTCTGGCTCAAAGGTTGTGACCCTCTGACCATTTCCTCTGTTGGGCTTTGCTGAGTAGATACTTCAGAGCCACTTGGGAATTCAGAAACTCAGCAAAAAAACAACATTTCCACCCTGACTTCTCTGCCTTGAGAAAACAACTTTGAAGTTGTTTTTCTATATTGCCCACAGAGCACCATATCAATTTTCTTAATGTGAAAACCATAACATGGTTGATTTCTTAACAAAATGTAATTAGTAAAGTGCCTGCCATGTATAATATAAACGTAAAAAATTAAGATAAAACTAATTGATTAGATTCATACTAATTTCTAAAATAGAATATTCCAGGAGTATTAATATTTATACATTAGCTTTATTAACAGGACACTGAATTTATTAGACATTGTCTTTTTGGTATATCTGTTGGGCTACTGTTGTTGTGCTACCAACAGTGGCTCAAACAACAAAACGTCTTCATGTTGATCCATGCCCACCTCTATTCTGTCTGCTCATCCCTCTCCTTCAGCTGCCCCTCCCTGCCGCTCTCTAACAGAAAAGAAAGTTTTTTGTTCATAAATCTGCTATGATACCTGAGCACAATTCATGGAAGTGTTCTGTGTTTACGTTGAGGTGAGGACGGCAGCCGCACTGAAACTGATCCTGTCCTCATGTTTACCCAACTGCTGCGGCCAAGCCTCATACATTCACTGACTCCCGACATGATCCCTTTTAATACTGACAAATGACTTTGTGACCGCAGACGCCCCAAACACAGGAGGCCATCAGTAATCGATATTTGGAGACTAGACTAAACACTTTTTCAAAGAGATCCAATATACGTAAAGGTTCAAGTTTTGGAGCGATTGATAAAAGGTGATTTGGTGATTGGAAATGTATATGACAGAAAACAATGAAAGGGCATGTGATAGCTTTTCATAAATCCTCAGACGTATAAATTTGTTTTTTCACATGTTGTTCAATTCATTTCAATCTATTTATTTATACACCCTAAATTACAACGGCATTCCCCCGGAAGACTCTTTGACTCGCCACGTATGGAACAGGATGACCACAATTGTTCATAAATGCCCATCATCACAACTCTGAAAACCCAGTGGGAGAAAGTGAGAAACATCAGAGATGTCCACAATGAGAGAGGGATCCGCTCGCACAGACAGACAGCCAATAGATCCAGGACTGTAGAGCAAGGACCGAGGCCATGCGGTGCAGGATGAGGGGGAAGCGCCCCCTCAGTCCTGCACTGAGGGGGAATACTTCAGCTTTACTTACAAACTCTTTGGTAGATGCTTGTCCATGTCCACAGGTGTCCAGATAGAGGGATCAAGCTTAATGCACTTACAAATAGAAGTGTTTTTCTTAGATGCTGTGAAAACAATCATGGCTGGGTAACTCAATTCTGATCTAATGTTTGTGACATTCTGCTATTTTGACCAAACTGTCTTATGGGCTCAACATACGGACTATGACACGGCTCCTTTGCGGATTTGTCAGAAAAAATGTATTCATGTTTGATGCACACAGGCGCGTGGCATGTAAAGTAAAAAATTTTTTTCTTTTTGCTGTTGCCAGACACTAGCGCAGAGAGAGACGTGCGCCTCTTCTTGGTGCTAGTGGCACACCGCACCGACACACCACACTCGTAACCCTAACCCCCAATAATTAAAAATGAAACTGGTTATGTATTTTGATACAAGAGTCAAGATTTTGATTCAATTCAACTAATTTTAATATAATTTTAATAATTTCATATATTTTTTAGTTTATTTTGCCAACAAGCAAATAATAACTAGAAGCAGAATTCAAATGTTTTCGATTTAATGTGAATTATTATTTTTGTCTCCTCAGTCTACACAGACTAATTTATTTCCAAATTCACAGATAATGTTTGGATCCTAAGGGAACCCAATAGAGTACCTCCAGCTTGCCTTAGCAACCATCTTAGCAACATGTCTGCCCTTGTTTCGGCTCAAAGCTAATGCTGTCAAAACAAATGCCCATATAAGAAAATTGGCTCCAGCTCGCTCCAGTCCACTCAAATTATACAGTCTATGCCTTAAATATAAAAAAGCAACATGAAGCTGTGTTTTAGAGATTATGTGAAGGTCTGTTCTCTTCACTTTAAAATAAAAGGGTCCCAAACTTTTGTAGTAACTGTAACATGCACTGTAGAATACTCTATACGGGATGGGATTTAGACACTGCTTACCGTATAATGTCTACTGCTGCTAATTAAAAAAACCGACAAGTCTGATTCGTAACACAAAGGGTGTTTCCAACCAGACTTCCACTTGGTAAACCTGATCTAAGTGTGATTGTCAAGATGAACTGAACTTGTTGTCTGCAGTGACCCTAAAGAGTTCTCCAGGAAGCCTTGGTTGATTCCGTGCCACCTTGAGCGTGTTGATTCGCGGCTGTTGCAGATATTTGGACATTGGTCTTGACCTTGGCCTAACCTGCCCCTGTGCTGGGTGTAAGGTTTCAGTGATTGTGGAGGAAACAAAGGATTCTGGGAGAATGAGAAACACCAGCTGGTTTGACTCTGGCAGCAACAATAACTGATCTGAAGAGTGATTTCATGTAATACTAAGTGCCCCAAGTTTTTAAAGATCTCAGCTGGCTTGTGAAATGGCAGACACAATAATATGAATTAATTTATTGTAAAAATTCTTAAATCGATTGTTGCCTTGTGTTGTTTTTTTTTTTACTAATTATTACAGATATTTTCGACTATTTCCATGGACAAATACTTTTTCAACCAGTGTAGTAGTGCAGCCTTGTGATGTTGTTTGATGTGCCTTTGGAATTGATCGAATATCACCTGATTGGTCAAAATAACAAGAAAAGAAAATTTGAAAAACTGTGTTTGCGCTGATTTTCTCTATAATACACTTGATGAGAATGACTTGATGGGAGTGGATTTTCATTGTTGATAAAGATTAAGAGTTTCGAGTTTATCTTGGTTTCAGCTGGTAGTGTGCTGTGTTAAAAAACGTTGGGGAACACTGCTATAGAGGCATAATGGTGGAAGATGGAAGTCCCAGGTCTAATGTTTAATGTGTCCCTGGCCTAATTTTCCTGACCTCTATATTGTCTTGACAGGTGTCGGACTGAGGGCAGCTGATGAGACAACAGAGCATCGCACAACGCCTCTGAGGAAGATGGTCAATGTTGTCGTAACATGTCCAGGTAATCCATCCTCTACAGACGTTTTCACTCATGTTAGTGCAAAAACATAGATTTGGTGTGTTTGTCGTATCGATACAAAATACAAATAAATCGATATATAAATGTCTTAATTGTTCTGAACTTAACTTGCAGTCACACTTACTGTTGAGACATGAGAGAAACTGGATCATCTTGTGAGACCTTAATCATTATTGGTTCTTTCCAAAGTCAAATAATAATAATGCATTGGTTTTATATAGCGCTTTTCTGGACACTCAAAGACGCTTCACATGTCATTACTCTTTCATCGACTCATTCTGGGCAATGTGGGTGAGGTGTCTTGCCTAAGGACACAACAACAGTTTGGCGCTTTACAGCCGCAGCCGTCCCACTGTGGCACCTGGTGTTCCCAGAGGACTCCCAAAAGTACTAATACAGCTTCAACTTAACTGTTTTGTCACGAGCAGAAATGACAATTTTGATTTTATTATTTTATTGAAAGACTACAACTAAGTAACAGACCATTAAAGTGAAGGTACAATTATACATGATCTTGTTTGTTAAAATGTCGGACTGGGCCGACTAGGGATTTGTGCTCGAAGGCCGATGAGTAAAATATCCAAATGTTGATGTTTGCCTTGGTCACAACTACCAGAGCTTTACTTAGGAAACACACCCCAGACACAGGAAGGGCCATGCAAGCTTCCACACAAACCTGCATGTATTGAACTGTTGTGATGAAGAGGGAATTCGAGTCGAAAGTCAAAGCTCTAGATATACTGGTCAGTCTACATTCCTTCCCTCACCTGCCGTCATGAGTTTTGGATGATGACCAAAGAGGTTGAGATCGCAGATACAAGCGGTCCGCCGCAGAGTGGCTGGGCACTCCCTCAGAAATAGGATGAGGTCCTACAGGGAGACTCAGGGAAGACCCAGGACAGACAACTGGCTGGGAACGCTTCAAGATTCCCCCAGATGCGCTGGACTAAGTGTATGTCTGGGTGTCTCTGCTTAGACTGCTGCCCCTGCAACCTATTTCAGTATTTAGTGGTTTAGATCTATTCCTTGTTTGTATATTTATACTCTATAAAAGTCCATATTTAGCTAATTCAAATCCAATCATTTCCCAAACTGCTGTGTGAAGTAGAAAGACGGTTTGAGTTGCATGCACTGCTTTTCATGATGCTCACTACTCGTTCTGATGACAAATAGTGGGAACATATACACATATGTACACACAGCCAGGACCACCCTCTCCCCCTTTTCAGTCCCCTCCCTCTGAGCACTGTGATTGGCTGGTTGTGTCGTCACACAGACAACAGCTGTCTCCAGGATGAAGAAGCTACTTGGAGGGTGCCAGCCAGTCTGCAGGCCTGCAACTGGAGAGTCCCCAGGGCCTATACTGGCCTTCACACATACACACACACACACACACGCACACGCACACGCACATATACATGCACACACATATGCAGGCATACAGACACACACACACCACACCATACACACACACACACACACACATACACACACATACAGGGCGGTCCAGAGCTGCAGGATTAGCGCCATCTCATGGACTTCACGGTTTTACTGCACTTACAGAACATAAGTCTCGTCCTTCATGCTTGTTCCTCAAAAAGTGAAAAAATGTTACAGTTAATGTGGGATTTTGATCAGCACAAGAAAAATGTCCCTTCTTTATCAAAACAAATTCACAATCATTATTTTCCTGTGGGCTTCCTCCTCCTCAGATGTGATTTCAAGATGCTTCCGTGGCTTGTTAGTTGACGTCGCTGACTCACTGAGGGCTGTGTGCTGCATGTGCTGTGGTGGGGCCAGTGCAACTGTCAGGTCAGATCTGCACCTGCCCCTGACACAGCACATGCACTCAACTACCACTCTGCACCAACTTTCATTCAGGAACATAAACACACACATACAGAAGCTCAGGACGAGTGCACAGAGCCATGTCACAAAGTCTGCTACAGGACGAACACGCATGGACTCTGTTACTAGTGATTACAATTTTTCCAGTGATTATAGCTTTGCCATAAATGCAGTAGTGTTGGTTATTATGTGCAAAGGTGGTTTTATATAATACTGTAATATTAAGGCTGCACAATTTTATCTTTTCTTTGTACCTGTCAGACCTTTGAAGATAAGCAGGGCAAGGCCTGATTAGTACTGTGATGGGAGACCTCTGGGAACACCAGGTGACACAGTGGAGCGGTTGCGACTGTAAAGTGTGGAGACAATGCCGAATTGCCATTGTGTCCTCAGGCATAACACTTCACCCACATGATGTGTGTGTGTGAATGGTTGGTGGTGGTGGTGACCATTATGGGCTTATGGCACATACTGGTTGCCTTGCTTATGTCAGTGTGCCCCAGGGCAGCTGTGGCTACAGTAGTAGTTTATCACCACTTTGTATGGAATACATTAATAATGGCATTTTGGATTATTTTTATTATTACTACTCGATTATCATTATAATTATTATTATTATTACTGTAATTTTAATAATTAATGATGGTTTTGCTATTTTTGCATGTTAGAATCATCCTCACTTATATAAACATGTTGCATATATACAGTGGCTTGCAAAAGTATTCGGCCCCCTTGAACCCTTCAACATTTCGCCACATTTCAGGCTTCAAACATAAAGATATAAAATTTTAATTTTTTGTCATGAATCAACAACAAGTGGGACACAATCGTGAAGTGGAACGAAATTTATTGGATAATTTAAACTTTTTTAACAAATAAAAAAATGAAAAGGGGGGCGTGCAATATTATTTGGCCCCTTTACTTTCAGTGCAGCAATCTCACTCCAGAAGTTCAGTGAGGATCTTTGAATGATCCAATGTTGTCCTAAATGATAAATAGAATGCACCTGTGTGTAATCAAGTCTCCGTATAAATGCACCTGCTCTTTGATAGTCTCAGGGTTCTGTTTAAAGCGCAGAGAGAACCATGAAGACAAAGGAACCCACCAGACAGGTCCGATATACTGTTGTGGTGAAGTTTAAAGCCGGATTTGGATACAAAAAGATTTCCCAAGCTTTAAACATCTCAAGGAGCACTGTGCAAACAATTATATTGAAATGGAAGGAGTATCAGACCACTGCAAATCTACCAAGACCCGGCCAAGAGGCCCATGATCACTCTGGATGAACTACAGATAACTACAGCTGAGGTGGGAGAGTCTGTCCATAGGACAACAATCAGTCGTGCACTGCACAAATCTGGCCTTTATGGAAGAGTGGCAAGAAGAAAGCCATTTCTCAAAGATATCCATAAAAAGTCTTGTTTAAAGTTTGCCACAAGCCACCTGGGAGACACACCAAACATGTGGAAGAAGGTGCTCTGGTCAGATGAAGCCAAAATCGAACTTTTTGGCCACAATGCAAAAGGATATGTTTGGCGTAAAAGCAACACAGCTCATCACCCTGAACACACCATCCCCACTGTCAAACATGGTGGTGGCAGCATCATGGTTTGGGCCTGCTTTTCTTCAGCAGGGACAGGGAAGATGGCTAAAATTGATGGGAAGATGGATGGAGCCAAATACAGGACCATTCTGGAAGAAAACCTGTTGGAGTCTGCAAAAGACCTGAGACTGGGACGGAGATTTATCTTCCAACAGGACAATGATCCAAAACATAAAGCGAATCTACAATGGAATGGTTCACAAATAGACGTATCCAGGTGTTAGAATGGCCAAGTCAAAGTCCAGACCTGAATTCAATCGAGAATCTGTGGAAAGAGCTGAAGACTGCTGTTCACAAACGCTCTCCATCCAACCTCACTGAGCTCAAGCTGTTATGGGCAAGAATTCCAGTCTCTCGATGTGCAAAACTGATAGAGACATGCCCCAAGCGACTTGCAGCTGTAATTGCAGCAAAAGGTGGCGCTACAAAGTATTAGCGCAAGGGGGCCGAATGATATTGCACGCCCCACTTTTCAGTTTTTTATTTGTTAAAAAAGTTTAAATTATCCAATAAATTTCGTTCCACTTCACGATTGTGTCCCACTTGATTCTTGACAATTAATTTTTTTTTATCTTCATGTTTGAAGCCTGAAATGTGGCGAAATGTTGAAAGGTTCAAGGAGGCCGAATACTTTCGCAAGGCACTGTACATATTTAAAAAGTAGAGAACTTATATCTCAAGTGTTTATATCCCTCCTCGGCACATGGCCTCCACTCTCTCCTCGTCCTGTAGCAGCGGCTCGTGTCTGGTCGTTGATTGACAGGAGGGGCAGGTGTGGTCAGTCTGTGGCCCTCTCCCACCTGTTGAGCCCCCTCCTCCTCCTACCCCTTACCACTTGGCAACCTCTGACCCTGTGACCAACTTCTCATTCCCCTGGGCACAGTAACCACCTACTGTCGCCCCTAGCAACCGTGACAGGGCAGGGGCTTCATAAATAAAACGGTCTGTACCTGAACGCAACGGCCCACCACTGCTGTTTACTACCAATCCGGTCTCCTTTGACCCCCACGTGCCCCTCACCCCCGACACAGGGGAGCCACAGGTACTGCGCAACAACCGACCAGGAAAAGATGCAATAAATAATCTCCTTGTGGCATACAGCCTGGTGAGAACAACATATTATTATTTTCCCTATTACTAATCAGCAACTCCAATTGGCTTCATGTACTCAAAAAATGACTCACTAAAATGACTTCAATTCAGGTTACTGTTCTAAATATAGATTATATTTCACAGAGAACAGGAGAAATGAGTGCTACAGGGTCCAAAAAAGTAATTTAAAAAAGTGATTCCCTTCAACAATTGAGGGACTTTCATGTTTTTCAATGTTTTTAAACGGCACTAATCCTAACATCAAATTGAGCCTGGATTTCAGTGGAACAAATATTAGTTTTCTTGATGTAAACATCTCAATTGACTCGCATGGACACTTTCACACCTCAATTTTCAGGAAAGA